GTTATGGACAAACCATGCATTGCACAGAAGTCCAATAACAGAACACCACTCGGGTTCAGATGAGGGAGGCCGTTCCTTCCAATCACCCCCCTCCAGGTCACACTGTTATTGCTCACGTGAGCGTTGAAGTCCCCCAGCAAAACGATGGAATCCACTCATTGCGTGCTAACCAGAATACCACTAAGGGAATCCAAGAAGGTCGGGTACTCTGAACTGTCATTCTGTGTATAAGCGTAGCTGACAGTCAGAGACCTATCTCCGACCCGAAGGCGCAGGGAGACAGCCCTCTCGTTCACCGGGGTAAACTCCGTTGTTAATGCACCGAGCTGTGGGGCCACCAGTAGCTCCACCCCAGCCTGGCATCACTCACCTGCTGCAACGCCAGAAGAAAAGAGCGTCCAGCCCCTCTCCAGGAGATTGGTTCTAGAACCCACGCTATGTGTTGAGGTGAGCCCGACTATATCTAGTCGATACCTCTCAACCTCACGCACAAGCTCAGGCTCCTTCCTCACCACAGAGGTGACATTCCATGTCCCGATAGGCAGTTTTGTCAGCCGGGGATCGGACCGCCAGGGCTTCCCTTGGCCGCCACCCGATCCACAATGCACCGAACCCCTGACATTCCCCTTGCGGGTGGTGGGCCCACCTGGGGACAGTCCCACGTGCCTCTTTCGGGGTGGGCCCGGCCGGGCCCTACGAGCCAAGGCCCAGCCACAAAGCGCTCGCCAACGGGCCCCTCCCCCAGGCCTGGCTCCAGGGTGGGCCCCGGTGACCCTAGTCTGGGCGAGGGAAACGAGACTTTGATAAAATGCTTTATCATAGGGTTCTTTTGTCTGGCCCCTCCCCTGGGTCCTTTTTGCCTTGGGAGACCCTACCAGGGGCTATTGCCCCCGACAACATAGCCCCCAGGGTCACTGAGGCATGCAAACCTCTCCACCATGATAAGGTGGCAATCCAAGGAGATGTTCATATAAAATATACATTGTATATCTTACATTTATGTTTAGTTGTGTTACATTCTGAAAAGATCTGATCCTTTGCATGTATTCTTTCTAAATATCTCATGTTAGTTTATTAGGAGGAGAAGCAGCATTTCAATGCAAGCAGATTCATTTTGGTTGTAGAATGTGTCTGCGCTTACCTTTCTCAGAATGAGTTAAATGCGTTAACTTTGTTGTGGCATTTTTAGCTTTTTATACTGTATATAAAAGAGGGGCAGACCATTTTGAAGAGTCTTAATTGACAGCTCTTCAACACAAGCCTTCTTCACTTGCACAGTGACCGGTAAATACTCACCAACCCAATCACAAGGAAACATTTCTGGCAGCAGTTCCTTCTAAAGTCTCCTCCGGCGAACACCGTCAGAGCTGCACCATTTGTTTTGAAATCAAATCATTTGCAGTAGCAAATATCCAGCAGGCTAAGCTGCTTCTACTTCACTCTGGGTCAGTGTTTGATTGTACTTGGGAGTTGATACATTGTTCAAAACCACAATGTATTGTTTTTTATAAAACACAAAACCAGCCTAAGAAAAAGCCCTTCTTATACTGTATGAATGTGGCATACTGTCGATATAACATTGTTACATCCTGAATAGTATATTTCTCATGAAATATGATATTATGAAATTATCTAAGCAATAGTTGAATTATTAGAATTGTTAGAATCACATTTTATTCTTCGCACTATAGCCATAAAGTGGATGAGAGTGTAATTCTGGACTACAGTATGTTTTAATGCTCATGCTAAAAACAGAAAAATAATATTTTTGAGCAATTTATCACAACACACCTTATCTAAATCCGTTCCTGAAACCATATTATGATTGATGTTTTACAAGTAGACAGCATGTGATTAACATCCCTATTGGAGTATGCTGGCATTGTCAATCCGTGATCAATCCCGATAATGCACTTTCTGGTACGTGAGATATAGCTGACATACAGTGAAACGAATTATGAGTTTTCCAAGTGCACTGAGAATTTTTTAAACTGATACGATGCATTTTCAATCATAATTGAAAAAGGTCAAGACATGACATAGAATTACATACAAATGTATAGAAATAGTAATGCTTGGATTAACACAGAAAATTGTCAGAAATATCTTATTAAAAGTGTATCTTAAAAATGCATCTGACACATCCACATTGAATTACAAGTTAATAATGATGATACAGTTGTGAGAAAATGTCTTGTGTTGCACATGTGGCAGAAGGAAAGTAAAAAACTGGATTTTCAACAGAAAATCTAATAAAAAGAAGCGCTAACAGGATTTTAGCAATGCAATGTTGTGAAGGCTGCGAGCACATCTGGGAGGCACGCCAATCAATGAGCTGCTAACTAACGATCACATCATCAAAAATAATTAAAAGCAAATGATTAAAATGGTTGTGGCTCAAGTGTGAGCAGGTTGCAAATTAGGAGCTGAATACACTGAAGGAGATTTTCTGAGGTGTTCAGCGGATTCATACCTGAGCTCTAACAATGTTTCTTTGCACCATGTGGGTTTACGCAATTTAGTGACACTGTAGGGCATCCTATGACACTTAAATGTGTTTTTAAATAAATATAGAAAGACGACATGCATAATTACAGTACAACTGTACTTCGAAAGCACTTGATTCACATTCCTACCAACGTAATGATTCAGTGCTGGATTCAAACTGCTTGTTGCAACCTAAATCGACACACGGGCGTTCCTGACTGAGCTGTTTGCAGCCTCTTCTCACGCCTTAAACAATTGTCACAGCATAAGCATGAATTTTACACATTCCCCTGCTACATGTCACACCATGAACCTATCGTAATACTACAATGGGGAATATTCATTATTATGCACAGCCACATATCCAAAAGTGAAGCTGATTTTAACAATACTTATTCTATTATTTAATTGATTTATATAATATGGTGTGAACATGAATTTAATCAGTTTAAAATTGTAATGTTATATCTGGCATTGCCAGGAAAAATTACTTTATTGGCACTCATTCTATTAACATACAGGATAATACCAGTAAATATGGGCCAGTGTATAGCTTAGTGCAGGGTTAGGGCACTGTATCTGTGGTCAGGAGGTCTTTGGTTCAACTCCCATTGTTGCCAGAGTGACTCCTCTGTTGGGCCACTGAGCATGTCCCCTAATCCACATTTGCTGCAGGAGCTATCTGACCCTGCTTTATTGTATGCATGTCTCTTTGCATAAAAGTTTCTGGTAAATGAACAAAATGAAAAAAGGGAGGAGGCAGAATGCGTTACGTAGAGACAGTGTTTGTGTTTTAACTCGTGATGTGTCCCTCACCACAGCTGATAAAGATGTAGAGGAGTACTACTCCCGGAAAAGGCACCTGCCCGACTTGGCAGCTCGCGGGACGCTGCCCCTGCACGTGATTAAGATGAACCAGGAGCAGCAGGCTCCCCCGCAGCGCCAGCGGCCGCGGCGTGTGCAGAGGGCCATGTCGCAGGACCGGGTGCTTTCTCCGGAGAGGGGCCCCGTTCCCGACTACGACATGTCCCCCTACAATGTGTCCTCCTATGGTCGAATCCTGTCCGACGAGCAGCTCCTGTCCGCCGAGCGCCTCCAATCCCAGGACCCGCTCCTTTCACCGGACAAAATGATGTCACTGAAGCGCTCGAGCTTATGTGACAAATCCATGTCACGGGCTCTGTCGCACACCGATGTGTTCGTACCCACCACGCCCGTCATGGACCGGTACAAGATGACAAAAATGCACTCCCATCCCAGTGCCTCGAACAATGCGCACAACACGGTGACTGTGAACCAGACCGTTTCCAAGCGGCAGGCTTTCGCATCACGACGGACACACACAATGGAGCAACTACACTACATCCCCGGACATCACCACCACTACCGCACAGCAAGCAAGACCGAAGTAACTGTTTAACCTGAGGGACTTCAGTGTCACGCGGGAATGGGAAACGCATTAGCGGCAGTAAATGCGATGACAACAGGATTATCCACACATGTGAACAATCCCAGCAAAATGTAAACCTAAGGCACCAACTATAATAAGACGAGCTGCATTTAAATCAGATAAACAAATTTAAAAAAAATAGTCTTTATTTTCAACACCAGCTTTCCAGAATAGCCGGTATAGAGATCATGATTTTTGTGCACAATTGCACATCAACCAGTACTTGTACACGAATGGGAAAGGATGCACAAGAAATGTCTGACACTTCATGTGTAGTTTAATCTTTGAGTGCAGTTTACAAAGGGCTTTTCATGTTGACACATATGGAGCGGTATCTCAGTGGTTATGTTATGACAGGAAACATGCTTAAGAGTGTGAAAGGAGAACGGTACTGTAATAACTTTATAAATATATAAATATATATACTATTTGTACTTCCAGTCCTATTTAGCTTTAGAGATTCTTTGTCAACTAAACTGGTGTTAGCACTTCAATTGGTGCCTCTCAAAACTGTACCATTTCAGTAATGAAGTGGATTCGTGGGTTAAAAAGCACAATAAATTCAAAATACCTTTTTACATTTCTTTTAAATTCTTCTTTTGGTAATGGCTAGCACGTATTAGCTTACTATATAAAAATGGTCAGTTTCTTTGCAGAGATTGTTGTAAATACGCTATACTAGGATCAGTCAATGGGTTGGTTGGCTTTTGTAAAAGAGTTTTTTTTTTTCCTTTTTTGTAGCAGTAGTAGTAGTGAAAGGTAATGACCGTAATTCCAGATTAGACAGGCCACTAAACAAAATGGACATAACTGAGTTGAATAATGTATGTTTGTCTATTTACATGTCTTTGTAGGATGAGAAGTGAATGATTGACCGAATATATACCACTGTTGATACCCGGCTTTAGACTGTGTCCCTGTGATTCAAAAGGCAGGTGAACATATTATGCTTAGTGCAGTAGCTTAAAAAAATAAACTAAAAAAAAAATCATAATTATTTTCACAGTATAACATATTCCTGTATGTCTTATATATGTATTTAGCCAGGAAAAGCTGCTTTCTTTTAACATATCAATAACTGTGTTGTTATATATAAGGTACTGCATATGTCAGAACTGGAAAATTATTGTTGTGTAATGGTTGAAGTGTTACAGCTGTCTTGACATAACTAAAACAATCAAATGAATATAATATTCAAATACTAGCAAAGAAAGGATTAAAACTGTGAATTGTTTGTCCAAATGTTTTAATTAAAGCAATGCCTTATATTATGAATCCTAAACTAATATCTTAATTTTATAATTATGCTTCAAATATGCTGAAACAATTTTCCCAATTGTGAAGAAATTTATCCTCCTATATCATTTCGTAACAGTGACACTAAGAGTATAAGCATTGTGTTCAGAGTATGACATGTGGATATGATATGAAATATATACCTCAAATTTTGAATTGAATGGTTCATTCCTGTTCATTCCAGTTTATTTAAATATTTATATGGAAAAAGTGAGAATATTTGCTATATTTGTACTGAATTCTCTTGAAGAACCATGAAGTTATGATGTAGTTCTTAATTTAAATCACAGTATATTATCAGTCCTATTGTATACCTGAGCCCAGTTAAAAAAGTGTCAAAATCCTCCTTGCTAAGTATTGGCTTTTTACAATTTAGAATAATATTTGGATGATTTTAACTTTTGAATTTGAAAAAGGAAAAACTGAGACACCAGTTAGTAGTTTCACAAATGATTCCTCTTCTTTCCACCTGTTCATCGAAGTGGTTTGTAAAGAGATAAGAAGTAACACTCACGTTTGTTTTTTCACATGAATTTGTGAAACTACAAAAATATTAAGTAAAAGTGGTTATTTATATTCCACATCTGATTAAATATTTCATGCTGATAACAACCAATAAATTCCCTGCCTTGTGCCATATGCTACTTTACTTTCTCAGAGAATTACTTTACACATCCAAACAGGTCTTTTCTCAGTTCAATTGTTGTCCTTTTCCTGATCTTTTTTTCTTAAAGGGATAGTTAGTCTAAAGATGGACAAAATAATCATACATAGTAAAACATTATAGAAAAGGATTTGTTCTATTTCTTTCACTCTTACTTGTTTATTAGTAAATTGTTTGTAGAAGACAATGCACCGCATAATTAAAATGTCTAGACACAGTAACTTGGCAGTCCAAGATGGTAATGGTGGATGAGTTTATATGAGAATATCCCTCTTTAAACATATGTTAATATCTAGCATTGATATCCCTCCAGTAAAAAGAAGCACTTTTGTTCTAATGTAAAATTCAGTAACATCATTAAAGGACCCTTTTAAAACATATTGAATAAGCCATGCATTAAAAATTATATTAGTGGTTGTTGAGTTCAAACTAAAATGCGATAAAAAATCATTTATTTGTGTTTATGTATAACTTCAGTTGAATATTTCCCTACATTCTGCATTTTGTTCATTAACCAATCCACTAGACCAGCATCTCACGTTCTTCTCCAAGCAAAAAAACTGTTAATGTGTGCTACACTCACCAGGGTCAGATATGCTGTGATATTCATATCAGTATATTTAAGAGTAAAATTATGTTTCCCTGCTTTGTGCTTTGTGTCTGAGGACAGACTGTAGGATTGATCGATAAATCTGCATTCATTACTAGTTTTTTTTTGTCTAAAATGTTGTGGTACCTATAAAAACATTATGCTCAAAACAATTTTCCACTGTAACACACTATTACTGCATGAATCCAAAAGTAAAATATACTTAAATAAAATAGATTTTTTTTTCTGATTCACTGTTGAGATAGACTTGCCCCATCTTTGACAGGATAACAAAACCAGGTATTAATGAATCCCAACACGGATTCTGCAAACTCCTAGTTAAGCTAACCTGCATACTTTAAAGCTACATTTTAATGAAAATGGCAATACGGTGTAGTTATGCAGGGTAAAAAAAGAATCATCCTAATATTTTACACTGAAATAAATCCCTGTCTTGTGAACCTACGAAAAGCCTAATGTTATACAATGAGGTATACAGCTTATTTAACATGTACTGTCTGTAATTAACCTCTTGGGCACTGTATAAATCTGCTTATCACATTTAAACTAATGCCCTTTAACTTAATTTTCAACAACTATGTTATAAACATAAATATAAATATATAATGTGCTATTCGCCGAACTTGTATGACACTTACAAAAAAATCTTCTGCTAAATATATTATGTATGTATTAAGTAAGGATTTACCGGTGAAATACAGCCTTAAACAATGTGCAAATGGAGTTACACTGTATATACATTGTCATATTCTATGACTTTCGAGGTTCCCTTACGAAAGTGTACAAAATTGTTTTATATATGAGACCCCAGATGAGGGATATGAACCTGATCTATCCCTACTGTACTTCAAGTACATTTGAGCCAATGACAACTTCATTTCATTCAAATCATTATCACTTGCAGTTAATTTTTGACAGTTATGTGCTCAGTTTTCATTAAAGGCATATGAGTCACTCCAGAAAGATCTATAACACAAGCACTTAAAAAAGATTTAAGAAGATGAACATCAAGTTACCACCACGGCAGTTAATGTTATGCTGTAGTTAAAATCTGAGTGGAGAGAGGCAGATATGAACAAGAGGAGACAAAAGCTCCTTTTTGTAGTCGTAGGAGAGGAACAAAAGAAAAGAACCTCCGGTGGTCCAAGGCCAAATGACTGCCCAACCCCCCAGGCGTGATAACTTTATGCAATATTCTGAAATACAAGTGTAGGTGTTGTTAGAACTGAAGATCAAAGTACATATCATACAAGCCTGTGCGCTACTCAGCTTGCCTTCCATATAAATTATAATAAACACATGTAAATACACAATAAAAGGAACAGCAACATGAACGGCCTTGCTGGCATGAGGCACAATAACAGCTCTGCTGCACTTTGACATAGATGTTACATGTATGTTACATGTATTGGTTAGATGAAACACCATTATTCCGTGTTCTCAGGTACTTCCTGTAAGTCCTCACCTGGTGAATGAATTGACAATGACACATGGTTCATCAAACCATTCAGTGGGAGCATCTTGGGTAGATAGGGTGCATTATTACGCTAGAAGATTCTAACCCCATTACGACTGAAATGTTTCACCACGTAATGAATGTGATTGCTTGGAATGGCTTTGTCGGCTGGTACATACAGTGGGTGGACAAAAAAAGGTTGAACGGCAATTACCAACAAATGAGCACTTTGATATGTGTATTTCATACAACGTGGAACACCCAAAAAGACGATGTTGCTGGTTCCCAAACAGCAAGTGTATTGGTCACCCTCAGATTATTTAATGTCAAGTCGAATTTAAGTAATGTTGAGCACGTGACAAAGCTGGAATTTATGGCAGTGCTGCCATTCAGAAACTACTACCATCCCAAGGCTAACGTAAAAAGATGCATGGCTTAGTGTAAGGGGCACAAAAGATGGACTCTTGAGCAATGGAAAAAAAATTATTCAAAGGGACTTGGCTCTTCATAAAGCAAACTCCTCAGGAGGTCCTTGCTACTAATATTGTTGTGTGCTTGTTTTTTGTAATCAAACTAATGCTAGTTTTGATTCATCCTAGCTTAGCCAGCTGTTTAAGCTGTTCATTCAGCCGTAAAACTGACTTCCTTAAAGAGGTAGGGGGATGGGGGCAGGTTGTTCACCTGACGAGCTGGCCTCGTCGGGAAAGTTTAATAACAAATCGTTTGCAATTACTGAGACAATCATACAATCTAGCTCCAGCTAAACTAACCTGGGTTTAATGGCTCACCACAGGTCACTTACTATAAATGTCAGTGTGCACCAGCTTAAGAATAGCTTGCCCTGATTGGCTAAAACAAATGTCTTACTCCAGTTACAATACATTGTTGCTGTGGTACACCCTGGACAGGATGCCGTTCCATTGCACGGTACATACATGCACGTGCTTACACACAATGGACAATTTAAAGAAGTCAATTAACTGCATGTCTTTGAACTGCAAGGGGAAGCAAGAAGGAAACAAGCACAGAACATGGGTAGGACGTGCAAAAACAGAGAGAGAGCTGACATGGGATTCAAATCCCCAACCCTGGAGGGGTGAGGACATTATGACTTATGTAATGCAATAGATACTCAAAGAATAATAAGCGTACACCATGTCAACATAACCAAACATAAACGGATTTGACAAATCTAATAACACATAACACATTAAAGCATCGACATGATTTTGTATCTCCTACAGATGAATATCTGCTACCTTATTGCCAGGCAATGTAACATCAAAAGCTTCTTTAAATTCATTGGAATTAAAGGGTGCAAATACATTCCTCACAACATGAAAACAAAAGCTTGCAAATGCATTTTTTAACAGATATTTGTAGGCAATAGTTTCAGCTTCCAATTTGCTTTCCTCTCTTCATTCAGATAAGAATATGACATATCAATTATAGAGAAAGTGCAAAACTCAGGTAGAAAATGCTTTGGCACAGTAGTTTTATCTAAATATCAGTAAAGAGGGAGAGTAGACTTGATTTTACATATATCTTCCAAATATAGAAAGGCATGTTGTTAAAGTAAAAACAGCTGTCTCTACCAGATTTCCTAAAAGCTAACACCAAATGTCTCTCCACAGATACATGTGCGCAGTTCTTGTATCAAGGATTTGTGCATTGCCCTCTCTCATCAATTTCCCACTTTTCTGACAAGCAAGAATAAAACTAAATCAGCTAGACCAAGTTTGATTTCATTTTGCTACTACAATGTGGAGAATTAACCATTGATTAACCCACTATGGTGAGGATGAGGTGAAAAGAAAAGCTCAGCAATTCTCAGCAGTAGAACCGCCACATAATATAAGAAAATTCCTAATATCAGTTACTTGGAGATACTTTAGCTAATTAAAAGTAGACGAGCTAACATACTCTCGCAGCCATGTATAACAGAAAAGCATTGCAGAGTAAATTACAGTGTTACAGTGTTAAGTGCTGTAGATTGTAAAAAGGAGACCGCTAACATGGAATACATTTAAATTCAAATGACTAAATGAATCTCCAAAAACAGGTATAATATTTTACTTTCATAATGCTTACTGAAAACTGCTGCTCAGAAGAGGCTATTTTAAAAACAGCATTTGGTAAAAACAATCTTGTTTTCGGAGTCTTTGACACCAGTACAACACAACATTTCAGCAAATGCAAAAAACACGTGGGCTACTTGGCTGAAAGTGGTGTCTAGTTATGCTACCTCTGTGTGTATATATATAAATAACTGTAGTTACATTAACATAATGTTTCTCTGATACTCTAAAAAGCAAAGTTTTTAACTGTTCAATAAGTATTGAAATCAATCCAAAATATGTCAAAACCTGGTGAATGTAGAAATATATTAAATGATGAGACAAACGGCACTTGTACCTTGCCTTCAACAAGCATATTTCTGATTTTAATTATGCAAATCCTCATCCAAAGCAAAGAAAATGGGATTGCTGAGAGCGATGGCATTTGAGAGACAATTAGCACGAACACAAAGATGCTTTGTTATTTTCAGGAAGGCACTTGCTGAAATCAGTCACAAGCAGAGCTTTGATAGTCATCAGAATAAAATCTCCATAATTCTCCACATACTTTTACACTGCAGAAGAGGAGAGCAACTTGCACTAGAGGAACCACTGAGGTGGTGATATTGCTTTACTGTGGGCCGCCCTTCAGTTCTGCCACGGTTGGTGACCCTGGGCTGGTCCCCATTGAACTGTGTGAAAGGGCATACGCTAAAGTGACGTGACCTTCAGTGATCTAGGAAGTGTACACCCACACTAATATTAATGGAAATAACTTATCTTGTTTTGTGTCTCAACTTCTGAACAGATTATTTAATTATTCATGAAAAGCTGTCTAGATTGCTGTCACCTTGAGA